AGTTATGAACAAATAACTTAATAAATTATGAAAAAATATATTGTAAATGTTAACGAGGTGTCAGGTATTATGTAACTGGTGGTACAACAGCGCATACATCTAAATTATTTAGGCAGCTTGATGAACAAATTTGTCTTTTGAAATTATTTAAACAGCTTTACTTCTAAATTTTCCTTTTTTGAAAATTCAGAGAGTTTAACAAAAATGAAATATGCACCATTATGTTAAGCGTACCTTGTTGTATCCGTGAAAAATGTAAAGAAACAATTTAAAGCGAGGTGGTTTTATTTAGAAAAAAAACTTACAAGAACGTTTTAAAGTTCTGATATTCAGGAAATATTTGAAGACAGACAGCAAAATTGTTAATTTTTTGCAACTTTAGAAGATACGGAGTCATTAATAATGATACCAGCATTATTTATTTTATCGTTTTATAATACATACGAAGAAGAAAATAAAAAGAGAAAATTGGGATTGATTTTTTAAGTGGAAATGTTTAAAAATTACCATTATTTTACGCAAAATTTCTTCCTATTTTTGAAACATTCAACATTATCTTGTCCCCAAATTGGTCTTTAAAGAATAGACTTTATTAAAGAAAAAAACCTCTATTTCCAATATTGTTGTAGAAAGGCACAAAAGAAAATCTCATTTCAACTAAAACAAAATTTTCACTATTCTTTTATGCGTTCTTTGCGCTATTTGAGGACAAGTTTAATATGTGGAGCCATTTTTTTGTGTAAATTTAGAAAATTGGTCTAGGGTCTTCATGCAAAGTACCCCCCAGATAAGGCCTCAAGATCATTTTTGTCGATCTAGGATTGCCAATTTTGAAGAAAATACGCTGTACGGTTATGGCGCTAGCATTGACCACAAACAGATAGACGGATAGACAGACATTTTTCCGGTAATCGCCTTTTCATTATCAAGGACACACAATATTTATTATTTTGTTACCAGGGCCCGGCGATATCTTTTCTATCTAAGATTAGCCCATTCGCTCATGCTCACAATACTTCTGATGAAGAAAGGCAGCAAAGTTAAAAATTACCTTGATTAATTTTTGAAAAATCAAAATTGGCTCGATGACGTATATTTTAGTTTATTGTGGGGTATTCCTTAAAAAAGGTGAAAGAAAAAGTTTTCATTTTTTTTAGGAAATTGGGTTTGCGAATATTGGTTATGTATGTAACATGGTCATAATTTGATTATTCATTACAGGAAAACACCTATTTTTTTAAAAACTGTAAATAAAGTAATTTTTGCATATAATATTGAAGAATAGATTACATGAAGAGAGAACTCTGTATCTTCAATAATGTACATGTAAGAGGGGGTCGAATAAATGCTAAAAAAGTGTAAGTTTCAAAAACTTATTTTCCGAGATAACTCATTTTTATTGTTCTCTTTGAAGATTAAAAAGAGGATATTTCTAAGAAACTTTTGAAAATATATTTCTCCTTCTTTTGAAGCATTTTCCCAAATCAGCATGTCCGTTCTAAATTTGCAGGTTCTTGAATAAATTTTCAGCTTCTAAATCGAGCAGGAATAGGAGCTTTTTTTGGGAAAACTATTTTAGCGTTGGTATTGTTCACAATTGAACAGGTGGGCAGAGAGAAAGACGTTTTGAGAAAAATAACCTTTTCTGAATTGAATACCACCAAATTAGAGATACTGAGAATATTTCAGTTACAAAACAGAACACTGTAGATCAATGTAATATTAATGTGTACAATATTTAATTGCACTCCAATTCAAGTGAACAAAATTAATAGTAAAAATAATAAATATCTTTGACGTGCACATTTATTTAATCCGGTTTACTGCTGCACAGTACGAATGCATTAATTTTTGTGTTGCAGTTAGATCTATACATGACTTTCATTACTTAGTGCGGACAATTACATTTTCGAGAAAAATACTGCTTTTAAATAGCTCTTATACGCCGATACCTTTCATTTGTCCTTTCTCTCTATCAGACGTAAAATATTTTCTATAAAAATATTATATCGATTGCCTCGTAGTCTTGCAAATGTGCATCCGAAAAGTCCTTCACGTTGCAGAATTAAATCTTACTTGAAATGCACAAACGTTTCCCGGAGTTGCACAAGCTCCGTCATCGGGTGAATGCAAGGGGTGTGGCGAGCCGGCGGCCCTCGTTGCATCGCGACCTCTGGGGCGAGAGGAGGCGAGAGGCGATAAGTGATTCACATGAGCGGTCGCGGTTGGAGGGCGTGGCTGGCGGAGCGTGCCTGTGTGGTCGGGTGGGCGGGCGCGCCTCCACCGAACTCCACGTTCAATAGGTCGTCCGTCCTCTAGACGATCTTCGGATAATATGACGTCAGCGCCCTCCTCCGCGTTCGCCCATTCGCAGGCGGAGAGGCCGATGAAAGGAACCGATCATGCAGGATGTCCGGGTTTTGCGGTCCGGGTCATCGGTTCGGTTCCTTATTTGAGTCGCACAATTGATCTATTTTTTCAGATAACATAGTTTCCCAGTCATTTCGATAGAATGAATCAGATCTGCAGTGTTAGTGTTGCTATAGTTTTTGGAGGTAACCTGAGGGAAGTATTTTGGTTTCTTATCTTAGTATCGAGTGTATTTAGAAGTCAAGCAAACGACCGAAATTTACGACTGCATCAGTAGCTACCTACTGGACGACCTTTCTGATATGAAAATCCGTTTGGATGACTCCCAAACCACAAAAGGACACGCCCAACGTAAATAAGAATTTGTGTTTCATTTGTGAATCTTGTTTTTATGTTGAAACTGGTTTTTGCAGCTCTAAGGTTTGCCAAAGTTTTAAAATGTTTCTATAAAAAGATCGGTTATTTATTTGACTGTTTTTGGCAGGACGTTTGAAGAAATTTGCAGCGTGGAACTTAGTGATTTGTTCACATGGGTGAGACTGAGCAAGTTTTTCGTTCCTGTGGTGTTTGCCGACATTCGCGCTTCCACCTTGAGAATTTGCAGCACTCTGATAATGTAGAAAGTATTTTCGACAATTAAATATGTTTCTTCAAATATTGAATATTTCACTATTACATGCGTTTTATATTTAAAATTAAAAATAAAACGTGTATATGGAATAGAAAACCAAATGAATTTTGTTTTCTGTGAACAAACCATGTATTTATTATCAAACGTTTGTGTATGAAATATTTTGCTGTGATAATTTCAGAGTGATATTGACTTCGGGGTCAATAGTGACTATTGAATATTGTCGTAGGTTATTTGGAACTTTATACAAAAATAAATGTACACAAATAATTTAACATTTCATAAACAATAATAATAGACATCAGATAGTAATAATAATAATAATAATAATAATAATAATAATAATAATAATAATAATAATTAAAAATAATAATAAATAGATAAGTCATCAAATTAAATTTGAATTGAATTTGAAAATGAAATTTCATATCTTGACTTTTTAGTCACGTTGTTCATTGTATGCTCTATTAAATCGAATGAATTTTTTTCCATTTAACGAAGAGTTTCTTCATCGCCATATTTATGATAAAGATCTCTGATATTTGAACTTTTTTCTTTCATGGAATTCCATTGTACTTTGCTATGTTGGTGTTTGAAAATGATCTACTAAATGTCACGGTCAGCGACGCATGACGTGCTTACGGGTTTAGCTCACTTGCGGAAGCGGGCTACCGACTTTCACCTGTCTTACCTCCAGGAATGTACCGATCTGCGCGCGCCATTGTCCTAGTTATCGAGAGCCTTGGAAGTGTGAACCAGCGGTATGTGCCTGGGGGCGGGCGTATGGTCCGCAGAACTCGCTTTCAAACCACAGAGAACGCAGAGCAGGTACCGTTCTACATCCAGAGGTTACATGCCATAGCATTCCCTTTCATCCGTGTGTTTCCGCTTTTTCACACGCTCTTTTTTATCTTTTTCTGTTGATTCATTACACCAGTTTTTTGTCATTGTTTCTAATATATTCTTGGTTACTTCATTATTCACGTTATAATAGTGGTAATTCTTTATTCATATTAAAAAATTGTAGTTTTTACCACCAAAATATATGAAATTTTTGAACGCTTTTGAACATCAGTTAAGTTTAATTTCTAATGGGTCGGGTAGAAACTTCAAGAAAGCGTTTCAAATGTAGTGCATTCGAACGTGTACTTGGTAATCTGCCAGATTTTTTGTATAGTCTCGAGGAGTTGTTCAAGCTAACCTGCTCCGCTTGTCCTTAACACGGACACGCCCAGAAACCGTTCATAACCTTGGACGTCAATACCAACTGCATTCCTTTCTCGATTTTCTTCAAAGAGTAGATTATGGTAGCGTGAATAGCGGAAGTTGAGATACCAAAGGCAATGGGAATTATTTATTCATAAGTTAGATTTTTTTCTCACACACACATGTTTTATTGCATCAACAATGACTACACGTTTATATCACAATTGTTACACGAACACATCTGCACAACTGTACATAACATGGGAATAATGAAATGATCATATACTAAGCCAGTTTGGTACAACTACATGCAGCAATGGAAACATTTGTACAAAAATCTTTGATTAGACGTTCAACTGACCTTTCCTGAATAGCACCAAGAAACAGAACAGTGAAGGGAAGGGAAATAATACGTACGGGGTTAATGAAAAGAAATGCGATACATATTCTGTAATATTGCAAAAAGGATTACATGGAACGATAACAGTTCATTGACATTACCTCACGCATTACCTCACGCAAGCACATTACCCCATTAGTGCTTTTATTTTTTTTCTCTTTGCACCTAATTTTGTGAATATCATCACGTTTGAAGAAACTAAATCTTCTCAACGATATGCGTCTTTAAGTTGCGGGAGTATAAATAGAAATAAGGAGGGAGGGGCTGTCTTATAGTATTTCGTGGAAAAAGACGACTTGAGTTTTGTCTGGAAGAAACATTTGAGCAGAGAAGCTCGTAAAGGATTGCCCCATGAGCTCTCTCAAGAAAGGGAAACCCCATTGGGAACGGGATTTAACCGGAGTAGTTGACGCTGTAGGATCCGCTGTGGACATCGAAATTGGAGGCAGGGTGGCCACGGAAGATGTTGTAGTCCCCGGGCGCCACGTAGCGAGAGGGCGCAGGAGGGTTGTACTGTCTGGGCTGGTGGTAGGACTGCTGCGGAGGGTTGTACTGGGGCTGGGGAGGGGGAGGCGGGGGGTTGTAGCGCTGGGGCTGGGGCTGCTGCTGGAAGCGGTGGTTGGAGAAGCTGGACGACGCCGGGCGGCTGTTGAAGCGCTCGTCCTTGTAGTAGACGCTGGGATCCTCGCGGTACTGGCCGTCGTCGTAGTCGTTGGGGCCGGTGTACGAGCTGTGCAGCGTGGGCGGGGCCACGTTGATGTCGGTGCCCGCGGGTTCGAAGCCCCGGCGGGACGCGCCGTACTCCACCTCGCGCACCTTGCCCGTGTCGTCCACGTAACCGTACTTGCCGAACACCTCGCCCGTCGCGTGCTTCGTCTCGATCTTGTAGCTGCCGTCCGCGTTCTCGTAGCCGTAGCTGTAGCTGCCGTCCTCGTTGTGCCGGTTGATGTGCTTCAGGATGGGGATGGGGGTCGTGTGGTAGTTCTGAGGTTCGGCATTGCAGATGGCCACCAGGGCCAACACTGCCGCCTGCAACAAGAACAGATATTTCTCAGAATACTGCAAACCATTAGATAAAGAAACGTTTTGTGGTCATTAGAAACCATACGAAAAACCAATTACCAAAACCAAAATTCATATACAAACAATCATAATGTTTCATCTCCCGTACTCTCGTCTCATGAACATAACTTCAGTTTATCGATATTAGTCTTTCAGTATAAACCCAGCGGTGGGAGATATATAAGAATACAAAGAATATGAGGAAAAGTAATAAGAGATTGGAATTAACAGCTCCTTAATACTTGAAATAAGGAAGAGAAGAAAAATGTATTGTTACATATTTAGAAAAATTGTGTAACGGTGATGTAAATAACTGTGCCAAATGCAATTATTTTGGTCTTGTAATGAATCATTATTTCAATGTTATATACATTAGTATGTTGTTTTTGTTAAATTTATATATTTCTGATTCCTGTCAATACTCCACAAAAATCTGATTTTAATTAGCTCAGAAATGATAGCAAAGTTACGATACATAACAGATATATCGTATCTTTACTATCATTTCTTAAATCTATTTTATTAATTCTATTTTTTGTTTTATGTTCCTCAATAGTATTGTAATTAGAGCGCATCTTCTTACATTTTATTATTAAAATTATAACTCAAGGTAATAAATATTTTTTCTAAAGTTTTCCCCCATTTTCGCCAAATTTCACAATTCTAAATCATCGTATCGTCACAAGAATTATGTTGGGAAGAATTAAAGAAATAATTTGTCAGAAAATTCCACGGATCATTTTGAATAGCATACAGGGAGAACTAAAACATACACATTTTTAGCTTGTTGTTTGAATAACTACTCGCATTGCACATCAATGTTATTTTGAGACTAATTCAATAATATTAATAATTTAAAAATATATAATGTATTAAATACGTTATTTTTTATTTTTTGAACTTTTCATGCAGTTACATTAGCATCTCGGACCATGACATATGTAACTCCGGGTTTATCACGCGTTTCTGTTGTTTCTACAAACATCCACGCTAATTAAGTCAGTGACTCACTGACGTCTCCTTTGTTAGCCCACATTCTTGCCTGACCAGCTTCAAGGACCACTGCATAACATTGACGAAATGCTCGATGACTGCCGCGATGCTTTTGTATTTCTTTTTACCCACAGGACCGTAACTCTCCTTCCTTCACGCGTGCTCGCCGGAGGGAGGGGCCACGTGTTGCGAACCTTGAGGCCTAGCCCCCCCCTACTCCCACCCCCGACGGTGGCGCCCGTAAACAAAGAGGCGGCGGCGGTGCCGAGTAACCAAAGAGGTACGCGCCCAACCACGCGGAACAAAGGGTCGTGATTGGAGCTGCCCGGAAGGCAGAGGCGACAAAGAGGGCGTGGGCGCCAGTAGCAGCTCTTGACGATAGGCGGCGCGGGTAGCTGAAGGCGGTAGCTGTTGTTCCCAGCGGCACTCGCGCCTGCGGAGGAGATGATGCTGGTGGTGGGCGGTGGCCGTTGAGAACTTTCCAGCTATCTCGCTCTCGGGTTTTATCTTTTCTCACGGTTCAATGAGCAAATATTTAGCTTGGCTCTTTCTTTGCTCGAGTACAATAAGGTTGTTCTAACATTATCTAACGAGGTTGAATAGGGTTTCACTGCCCATTGACCTTAGCAAATAATAGAAGTAGTTTAAAATTAATAATTGAACAGCAAAAAATATTGTCTTGCAATTGGAATTTTTTTCGAGATTCCTTTCAGCCATAGTAATTTAATTAATAATATCGTAAATTTCAGAGTCACGCCTCGCGTCATTTCACCAACACGAATAACCGAAATTCAATTAATAAAATACACAACAGATACGGAAATATTACCTCATATTCCGCATGATTATGGATTTACATAATGTTATGTTTTAAGTAACGCATTTCCCTAATTAGATCTTTGAATGTTTCCCTTCACAAATAAAGTATTTGTTTCCCCTTCACACATGTTGTTCACCATGTCTTAGAGAAGTCGTCTCCCTGATGAGAAACTATTTGTCGTTTAGGTTCAGTTGCCTCTCAGATGAGTGATTCTCTCGCACGAAATCAATCCAGCCTGGTATTGGGTTAGGATTCTAAAGCCACGTGACACCATTCCGTAGGTGGAACAGTTATAAATAATCAAGATCGTTTGGTAGTAGCAGTAAAAGTGCAAAGTCCGTAATATTGTTTGTGTTAATACGAAATGTTTTAACTTTATTGGTTTGCCTTATTTGGAACTATTTATATTTCCTATTCAACGAGCGTAGCACTCCGTTTAGTTTTGTAATAGGTGTTTGCATCAAGAGTCAATTAGAGAACCAAAACTTGACTTGCTGATAGCAATGAACGGCAAAAATATCCATAAAATTTCCAAAAACAAATATTAATGTCAAGTATTGGTTTGGAAGACAGTATGAGCGAAATAAATAGTATGCAAACGTCATTCCTAACGTGCTATAAGTGGAATGTGTTGGGAATAACGGATTTGGGGTTATGACTACGTCATCATGAGTTTTGGAACAAGTGATTGTAGTTGTAATGACGGTGGTAGCAATGTTTGTTGGCAATGGCGGTACGAGTTGTTAACAATCCTAGACGTTCATGTAGCGGAAACTGTTTTGGGGACAGCAACAGACGTGACAGTTACCTCGCCAAAAGTTGGCCAACCTGGGAACAATAGCTGATGTAGCAGTAACATGAGGTGGCGGCTCCGCAGCTGGCGACGGCGACTTAGGCAAAATGGTTGCAAAGGAAGGAGTGACGAAGGGGGCGTGGCATAGCGGTGGAAGTGACTCTTGCGAATGGGGTGGTGAAGGATTGAACTGTGACAACGTCGTCTATGTCGGTGATGACGTACGCGACTATGGAGACGACGGTGTTGGAGACTGTGGGGGAAACGGTGATTGTAGTATTGAAGACGACGGCAATGGCGGTGAAGACGATGGGAAGCCAGTGTGGCACCGGTGGCGGGCGGCGGCGGAGGCTGCAGTGGCTGCGATTGTAGTGGAAGCGGCTTAGGCGATGGCGATGGAGGCGGCGGCGGCGTCCTCGCAAATCCGGCGCATGCTCCCCGCCCGCGAGGCCACGCCCCGCTCGGTGCATCGCGCGCCCACTGCGCTGCTCGTTACGTAAATGGCGCAGGCGACGGACACCATCCTGCCCGCTGCTCTCCTTTCCACCTGCGCGCTTTGGGGTTTGCACAACCGGAGCCTTTCTACAAAGCGGTGCAAGAGGTGTTTGAATGAATTCACAGGAAATTAAAAATTAAAATGTGTTTTTTTTTGTGCTTCGTTCTTTGTTCTTTGATTCGTTTCTCGCAATCATTATCTATTCCTTTGTTTAACTTGTAAAAATTATTTTTTACATACTTTTCTGGTTTGGGGAATTCTTATTGATCGCGTGAACGAGCCATCCAGGAATACAACAGACGTTGAAATATCATTATTTTGATTGCAATACGTAATAAAATTACTAGCAATTTGAATGATTTGTTTTGAAAATCGTTTTTTAACAACACGTTAAGGAATGATTACCAATAAAACTTCTTTGTCATAATTTAGACTTGTTATAAAATCACTTGTAGAAATAACTGCAGAATGTTTAAAACTGTCTGCTAATTTGATTTATTAGCAGTAATGTATATTATACCAGGCAGCTTTTCCTCCAATGTCTTCTTACCACGACATCATTATCACTACAATTGCCCGCTGATTTATGCGCATTCAGCAGGTATCATTGTATGCTTATTTGCATGCATATGAATTGGTCGATATTGTCCTCCTGTATAATTTTAGGGAATTTTATTCACAGTAATGAAAGACGCAAAGTTACTCTAAAATTACGTGCATGCAAGAAACAGGAAAACCCTCCAATGCTACCATTAGAATCCAATTTGAATAAATTTATGAAATTATATTTGATAAAAAAATATTTCACAATAGAACTAATTGTAAAAGGTTAACAAATTATTGTTTTAAATGAGTAACTATTTAATAAATGGATATTAAATGAAACAAGAAAGGAGAATGAAAATAAAGTCGGCATGTAAATATTTACAATATGTCAAAGCTGTTAGAAGTATTAACGCCTGGAAAGAAATATTTCAATATACTTTATGTATTTTAAAAATAATTAGCTTATTTTTTTCAAAAAGACATTGTCGTGAAATATGAATGGTAATTGACATTAGTATTAAAAACTTGAGTGACGTTTGGCTTCTTTTTGGAATAGCCCTTTGGCATGCAACAGCTACGTACCACCGCCATATAACAACAACAACAACAACAACATTGAGCTCGTTCCCCCGCGCTATGGCCGTGACCCCGTTGCGCGCTCGACAACCAGCGCTGGTCCCCAGAGAAAGCGGTGGCCGGGGCGTCCCAGCCAGAAGCCAACGACCACTCCGTCTGTCTGTCTGTCTGTCCGTCCGCTGCGCGCGTGCACTTACGAATCTGAGTGTCGCTCCCATGGCGTGTCCGGCTGCTCCTGCTGAGAAGCTGCGAGCGCGGGGCGGTGGCTATGGTGTGCCGCGCGCCGACCGACAGCGCTTATATAGGGTGCGGGCCCCGCCGCCGTCGCTGCCGCCGCCGCCGCCGCCGCCGCCGTCGTGTCCAGTGCCCGCCACCGGGGGACACGCCAAGGTCCTAGCGACGGCGGTGGCGGCGGAGTGGTGGCAGAGGCGTCGGAGCTGGGGACAACATTGGCGGAGGAGGCGTTAGCGATGGCAATGGATGCTCGGGATCGAAATATATGTATCAGCTTTTTCCTTTCGCTTGGTGTCGTCTCTGTCGAGAGTTAGTTTGCCGGCATTGTACTTGGCGTTCGCAAATTATTTGGATAACAGGATTCCTCGCTATTTACTGGTTTAGTTTTTCTACATATTGCGATCATGAGTAGAAAACATCTACGGCTTTCCCGACATTTTTGTCTTCTCTCTTTTTCACATTCTTTCATGTCTACGAAAAAGGTGATGCAATACGTTCTTGCACAAATACCAACAGTGAGAGAGCAATGTAATTGCCATGAATAAGACGTTTGTAAACTGATATTCACACTTAGAACCGGAGATATAATTTTACGAATTTTTAAACTGTTCCTAAGTAAAATTCTTGAAAAATAATTAAATGAATTTAAATCCATCCCCCCCCCTGTTGAAGAGAGACGATATTAGAAACGAAATATCCACTTATCGGTGGAAACGTTCGAATTGCAGAATGACACTTTTTGGCAGTTTTTTATAGGCTACAATCTTTCTCAATTCAGTATATGTAATTTATAAATTTTTTCTTTATTTTCAGAAAAAAATATTTGGTGTGGTTTTTACCATCATATTATCATATTAAGGAATTAAAATTGAACAAAACTACAGTTTACCACGTTTTTGAAGGACAAATTATTTTCTTTCCTCTTTTAGGCTGAGTTGGTGTCCATACAAGCGTCATTTTTTAACTGATGCTAAAGGGCAGGTCCTGTGAACGCCATTTTTCTGTGAAATGTTATCTTTATATCATTTGCCTAAGAAACTACATTGGCAAAAGTATCCCCTAAATATTAATTATAATTTTTTTAAAGTAAAATTGGTTCACGGGATTTGTCAATGTGGTTATACAAACAATTAGTTACTCCGTTTCGTGATATTTAATTTCTTCATCAGGGCTAGTATATAAACATTGAACAGTGCTTTAGGACAACATACATTACAATAAATTGATTGTTAATTCATTAACATACATTGAATTTTTATTTGTGTTAATTACCTTTAATAAAATTGTGTTAATTAATTATCAATCAATTTATTGTAATGTATGTTGTCCTCAAGCACTGTTCATTATTTATACTCTAGCCCTGATGAAGAAATTAAACCCTTCGAAACGTTGGCGTAACTAATCTTGCTCTAACCAAATTGACCAATCCCGTGAATCAATTTCACTTCCTTATTCAGCAATGGTCGTGATTCTACAATGGTATTCTTTTTTTTTAAATTTTAGCCATCTTTTCTGTGGTTCACTTCTAGAGTACGTCGGTGCAACGGTGAAGACAGTGGAGACGGTGGGGTCGTCCGAGACGGCGGCAACAATAGGACGATGGTAACGGTTGGGTCATTGAGGGCGGTGGGGACAGTGGTCGTGGAGACGACGGACGTGACGCAGACGAGAGCGGTGGCGAGGAGGTGAACGGAGAAGGCGTAACGGGCGGAGAAGGCGACGATGACGATGATGAGGCCGATGAAGACGATAGCGATGGTGGGGCCAGTTTCCACAATAGTGATGGCAAACAGTGGTGGCATTGTAAGCGGTGAAGACGACAGTGTTAACGGTATGGATGGAAAGGACAGCGGGAGCGCTAGCGGCGATATGAATGGTACGGAAAGCAGGGCCGGTGGTAACAGTAGGCTACGTTCTGATGATGACTATGAATGATGGTGATGGTAGGGACGACACGGATGTTAGAGATAGCGAGAACGGTAGAGTCGGTGGGAAGGGCAGTAGGAAGGGTGAGGAATGGTAGGGACAGGGGCAACTACAGCCTCGATCTCCTCGAGACGGTAGGGCGGTGACGACTTTGAGGACAATGGGGACGGTGGAGACGGCGGGGCGGTGAGGACGTTGGGGACAGGAGTGGCAGTGGTGACGGTGGAGACGGCTTCTGCTAGGGCGGCGCCACTGCGAAGCCTGAAGACTCCGGCTGGCAGGCCAAGCGCGCAAGGCCACGCAATGCCTGCGGCGGGAGGCGCCGCTGCTGCACAGCTCCGCCCTGGCGCTGCCCGGAACCCTCCGCCGTCCTCTGGCTCTGGGCCGCCCGCCGGAGACCTCAATGCTGGGCGAGGCGGCGAGCGCATCCTTGGCGTCGATTTATGGGCGGAATGTGAGCCTGCGCGGAGGTCAACGCGGTGCTTACCCACACGATCTAGTTTCCCATTGCCCCAGCAGATGTTTCCATCGTCGTTTGCTTATAGTGGCAAAGCTCTGCAAAGGATGATGGCAACTAGTTTGGCTGTGAAGCGTAGAGCAACAACTGTTGCCATTGCTGAACCTTGATGAAACATAATCAACAAATTTTTAAAAACAATGCATCTCTACCGGCGCGTCGTGTCTGCGCCTCTTATATTCTTTGATCCAAACGAAAAGCTCTCTTGTCAGGTGAAGATAAGGGCAGTTGGAACTCGATTTTTGGACGCATATGCTCAGACACCGATCAGAGTCATGAAAGACCTACTCTTGTGTGGTCAGGCGAGTTGGGTGCGTTTACACCATTTTTAATTTAAAAAAAATATTTACGAAATGTTTGACTATCACAGAAGGTGTCAAGAGGAGTTGTAAGCTAAGTTAGTTGCACATAGTGGTAGATATGCATGCAGCTCCTACGTTATAGATTTGAAAGCAAAAATCACCATGTTTCTATAACTACTACAAGGTAGTTTGGTACCTGCCACCCGCAGCATTTCTCGCCACTTAATATCAGAATCATACCAAGAGTATAAGATTATTAAGCAATGCAACAGTAATATATCAATGGACGCATCTCCATTTACAAATGTACGTATTTCTGGTCCTTCATAAACGTGGGTTTCTTTTAATTATTTCGTGAGCATAATCACCAACATTTGAAGTAAATTGTCAGAGGCTTATCAAAAGTGTACAATACGTAGGGTGCAGGTTTCCTATTAACAATTGCTTCACCAGGAAATCAGTAATTTCACTACTAGAATTTCAGCTTCTATAACTGTATAATTGAAGATGCATTTAATTATTTCATTCTTTAATAATGTCAACGCCTCATCAGCATTTCCGCAATACCGAAATGAAATGAAAAATTAAAGTCTTTTTTTTAAGACGTTTTTACCAGTTATTGAGTATTTCAGACTACTGTTCATTTTCAATTTTAAACATAAAAATTTCAATTGAATGAATTTAAAAAATAAATCATTAGAATTAAACAACGTGTTTTGTAGCAGTTAAGAATTCCCCATAATAATTGTGCGTGAGTCCTAAAAACAGTAAATTTTATGAAAATAATTTACTTCTATTCGTTCGATTTTAGTGAGCTAATTTTCTTGAGAAATTAGCTTTCATTAAGCGAATAGTGCCTTCTATAATATAATTTGTTTTACAACATTAATTATTTTCATATTTTATCGTTTATTTTATCAAAAAAACTAATATCACGAAGCAGTTGAGTGAAGCACATTTTACTAATCAGTGAGTGACCGCTATAGAATGTGGTCTCATTAAGTAAAGGTCCTGAAGAAATATTTCCAGTAAACTTTGTTAAGAATTAATTGATAATATGTAAATAGTAGTCGCTATCCAGGCTTCCATAGTTGTAATCATTTCTCGATAAAATTATAAGTATTGCCACTCTCCTTCACTGAGAGAGTATTACTCCAAAATTCTCACTAACGTTGAATATGTAAGTCTGAATCACAGCTATTACATCATTTAAAAACTGATACATAGTATTTTCTTTTTCCGTATAGAGAGCTTCCGTAATTTGTCTTAACGTTCGCAGGTCTTCCAGAAGAGTTTACTGACGCATGTCGACGTTAAATAGTGATTTCTTTACATTACTCCCGAAAAGATAGACTTAGTATTACATTTGAATACTTAAGTATTCCTTTATATTTGGGGTCAAATTTTCTATAGAATCATCATTTTTATCCCAAATATATTGCATTTAATGGTAATCAAAAAATCTTATTTATGTGTTATTTCTTTCTACCATATGGGTCTATAGCATTTGTTATTTGAACTATAAATGTACTTCACTCTACAACGGTATTTTTATATCCATGAATGAGTATGAAATATGTATGAAATATATTTTTTTAAATATCCATCACATCTAAAACTTACACAACCAGAGAAGTGAGCGACTGTCCTTTACTGTGCTACACCAACGCGAGTGATTTAATTTAATTAATACGTAACCTTCTCCTACGCGTGGTGACGAATACACCATTTACTGCGACATCCCGGATGACCGCGCACAGGGTTATTTAGGCACCTCTCACCCTGGGAATGCACGCCGTCTCAAGACCGTCGCATGTTGCATTTGGGTCGTTGAGCATCGCGGGCGAGCGCGGCGAGCGGGCGTACCAACGCGAGTGATTTAATTTAATTAATAGTAACCTTCTCCTACGCGTGGTGACGAATACACCATTTACTGCGACATCCCGGATGACCGCACACAGGGTTATTAAGGCACCTCTCACCCTGGGAATGCACGCCGTCTCAAGACCGCCGCATGTTGCATTTCGGTCGTTGAGCATCGCGGGCGAGCGCGGCGAGTGGAGCGGGCGTTGCGCGAGGGCCGGGGAGCGTGAGTCACCGGCGCCAAACGGGGAAGATGGTATCGTAAAGCGCCAGCGCGGCGCGGCGGCCGACGCCTCCGCGAGCCTGCCAACGAGACGGATAAACAGTTTTATGTCGGGCGCACGATGCGTCGCTCCGCGCCTCAAGGTCGGTGGGGGGGGGGGGCGGGAGGCCTATTGAATGGAAATGGCTTCTTGGACCCAGTTCAG